AGGTGCATAAGGAGTTTAGTACACGCCTGGACTTTGAAACAATGGCCTAATAGCCCAAAATATCATGTTTTCTCAATTTGAACTTCATGCATTTGCTCAAAATTTCCCAACTTGCACTGGTCATAACTCTCTCAATTTTCATCTTGTAAAGGTTATCTTTGACTTTTTGGAAAGCTCAAGATGTCCTCTACAATCTCTCTTTTGATTATTTTTGCATTTGAAGAATTTATCTTGATGTAAGTTGCCTTGAAAAAAGTGTCTTTTTGTTGACTTTTAAAATGACATAATATATTGGCGCATATCTCTCAAATGAAGCATTTTTTAGACTTGAGCTTAGAGAGACATAGATGTAGAGAATTGAATTTACTTCGAAATGAGCTTTGGTTGGTGAAGATCTGATGAAGCATGTGAAAGTTATGCTTGGTCAAAATTCAGTTGACTTCTCCTAAGGAAAACCTTAATTGGGCGACTTTTGACTTTTGATGGTTTGAGAGTTTTCTTAATGAGGCATGATCAACCCTTGATAAAGTGATTACAAGTAATACCTCCCCTAATTCCCAAGAGTGGAACATTAGGGAACTCCCCATAATGATAAATGATAGTAATGTCTTCTTGATATTGAGAGCACCAATGGACCGAATGAGAAAGTGACATCAACTTTTGAGACCACATTAAGCCTTTCTCATTCTTCAATATTGATCGAGGAAGGTGCGAAATAAACCACCTAGCCAGAAAAGGCAAGCAACACATGAGGGTCTCTCGCTTCCTCATAGTGCGAGTATGAAGAGAGTGCAAAATGTCCCCAAGCAATGTAGGCATCAAGTTGCGAGTAAGGAAGATTTTGACAGTGTTCACATCTATGAGTTGGTCAGGGTTAGGAAAGAGAACCAAACCATAGATTATAAGGGCCAAAATTTCTTCAAAAGCTTGTAAATCCAAAACATCCAAAAATGAACAAGCCTTCTCCATCAGGAATTTAGCCAAAAATCCTTTGACCCCGCTTCTTGTTTCCCAATTAGCTATAATGTCAGAACTCTTAAAATGTAAGGCCTTGGAAATAACCTCAGGCTTTGGAGTTTCCTCTAAACCGGTGAATGGTATTTGGTCAAGGACTGGTATTCCCAACAGTCGAGAGAATTCTTCTATTGTGGGCACTAATTGATAATCGGGAAAGGTGAAACAATGGTGTATTGGATAGAAGAACTGAAAAAGCACCTCCATCATGTCTTCTTCAAAGCTTGAGGTAACCAGATTGAGAAGTCGACCATGTCTTTTGGTGAACGGAGAATTTTTAGGAACCCTTGATGCTAATTCTTTGAGTTAAGGAGTCACTCTTATGAAGTTGATTTGGATGATATTTCTGCAAGCGGAAGCCATATCCTACAAAACAGAACAAAGATAAATCCCTAGGTCCTTGAGATGGTTAGTAAAATGCTATGGCATGATGTTATGATGTCATGAGAAAATAATCACACACAAACAAAGCACACAAGGCCTTAGGTTTAGGCTTGCATAGGGTTTATTCGTAAGTACCCTCTTGAATTTTAGTTGGTTCAACTTGTCCTAAAAAGTAACCGGGTTTTAGGAGCCTCAATATCACTGATATTTCATCATCGGGCATTGTTTTAGCTCAAGCATATCCTGAAAGTCTGATCTCAATGAGTGTAGTGTCGAGTATCAACCAACTTGAGTCTGCACCAAATCCGGCTACCTCACTACTTTCTAATGGCCAAGATGTTCAACTATGGTTCTACGGTCAGTTAGTGCTTCATGACACCACACAGCGGCCCCGTATTCTGCTAGGATGGACTCAAGGGACACCGGTACCAACAAAGTGTCACACTAACGCATCCATCGCTTCAACCATGTTGGTATACTCTGCACAGTCCCCATGATCTATTGCTACTTACCTAAAATGTCCCAAAATCCGGGTGTAGGATTTTTACAAGTAAAACCCAAGCATAACCCACAAATGTAAAGCAAACAAGGCAAACAAGTAAAGAAATAAAGGTGATATAAATCTTAAGGTAACCCAACTTTTAAGCATTCTCCAGCAGAGTCTCCAGTTCTGTAATACGGTGGGAGAGTTGACTTGGGTGTTTTGTGTTTTATCGCAATTATTGTGGATAACAAGAGTCGCCACCGACACTTCTTTTATCCAATAAAGAAAAGGGTGAAAAGAAAAGGAAATACCTTTTGAGAATTTTCTTGAGTTCGGGGGGTAGGTTATGAAAAGGGAAGGTGTTAGCACCCTTTTTTGGACCTTCTTGAAGCTATGCCAGCCCTTCCTTTGTGCTAAAAATGGTTGAATCGCCCCAACCACGTCAAATTGCTAGGTAATGTTTTTGAGTTTGGAAGGTGGTGATAGTGATGTTACAGAAGTTTTTCTTGTGTTTGAATAACTTCTATATGATGTATGTGAAGTATTTGGATGGTTTATTTGGGAAAAACTTGCAAGGTTTGAGAGGTTCAAAGATTTGGACTTCAAAACTCAAAAATGGAGGTTTTGTGGACAATTATGGTTTTTTGAGAGTATATGAGTTTTGAGGGCTTGTTCATCTCTTTATATCTTACAAATGATCTATCTATTTATAGGCAAGAGGTTTTAAGACAAGGATTGATCCGACTTTGCAAGATCACATGTTGTGGCTAGGTTGGATTGTACATGAAGCAAGCTTGAAGATCATAGTTCCAATGCTTTATATTTTGCTCCATAGAGTTGTTGGACACTTTAAGCATGTTTGTATGATTTTGTGTGTTGAGTGGGTGTAGAAGGAACAGATTAGAGGCTCAAGAAGAGCTGACTTTGTGATTAAAGCTACTTTGCAAGAATGGCAATATTAACTTTGTGCCAAAAATGGAAAGATCACTTGGACAATGCTTAAATCAAATGGATCATAGCTTAAAAGTTTGTGTAAACATTAAATTATGGTGAAATTTTCAAGTTAGAAGGCCTGTAATATAAGATTATGCAGCATAACATGTAGATTAGATTATATGTTCTTCACCAAAATGACTTGTAATTTATGAATGGATACTCAACTTCATGCCTTTGGATCTCCTAGCTCAAGTATGATAAATTCATGCCCTTGGATGTTTTGGAAAGCTTGAAACATTGTATACAACTTTCATGTTGACCATTTTGGCTAAATCAAACTGAAACTTGATGAAAATTGGCCAAGAAGTTGAGATGAAAACTGACCAAAACCTATTGAAAATCTCTCTAAGTGTTAGATAAAAATGCCATGACTTCATGGACTTATATCTTTAAATCTAAGCATTTTTTGGACGTCAAACCTCTAATAGAAAGTTGTAGAATTCATCAAGATCTACAACTTTCATGTTGAACATTTTCTTTGAATCATCTTACATCTTGGTGAAAAATCGTCATGAAGTAGTGAAATTATCAAGTTTAAAAACACTTAGAAAATTTCTAAATATTGAAAACTTTGACTTTTTGTTGACTTTATTTATCTTCTTATTTCTTGATGATCAAGTTTGATATTTTTTAAGTTTTTGATGAATTTGATCTTTGAAATTAATGTTGACCAAAAAGTCAAAATTTAACTTTTTGTGTATCGGTTGACTTTTCGTCAGTTGATCTAAATTTCAACTATCAAACCTTTGGTCCTGAGAAATGATTTGAGCCATGAAATTAGGTCAACATATTGTGTTTGAGTCCTTGAGATTATGCTTCAAGCCAATAGGTCATGTATTAAGTCAAAAGTCAATGATCAGCCATTCTCAGTCAAAACTCTAATTTGGAGGCTCAGTGTTTGGGAGGTGAGCTCGTCTGATCAAACTCTTGAGAACCCTTGAGCATTTGAGATCTTTGGTGAGAAATATCTTGAGAAAAGAGAGGAAAAATTTTGGGGTATAAGAGTAGATATATGTCAAAATACAAACCGGAAATACACATACGGTTTGGAACCATTGTTTCATTTCTGAATCGTATCAACGTGTTAGGGTGTGGCTTCTCAGTGTTTTTCTTAATTTCATTTAGAGTGTAATTGGAAATACAATATCGGTTTGGAAACCGTAAGTATACTTCTGATTTGTATGTTTTTTTTATATAATAGGGTGCGCACCGGAGATACATCTCCAGTTCCTAAAGACATTTTAAAAAATTCACGTTGGTACTTAAGAAACACATAAAGTGCATTAAAAAAATTATCTTATGTTATATTGATACAAAACCGATTTGCATCTTATTACAAAACCGGTCTGCAAAGACTCATTGTGTTGTCATTGCCAAATGAGTCTGCATCTTTTTGGTAAAAAATCCGTGTTACATTGAGCAAGTGTATTGTGTGCATTGACTCATTTATGTATTACAAAGTGTCAAATTCTATCTGGATTAATTTTGAGTTATGTTGACAAAATTCGTCCGCATTTGTTGTACAAAATGACATTAAAATATAGGGCAATGTAAGTGCAACAAGTCACCTAAAAGATTACATCAAACTTAGACAAAATGACATCCAATTGTTACAACAATAAGTTATACAAAATTATATCAAACTTAGATGAAATGGCATCAAATTGTTAAATCAACAAATTATACAAAATAACATCAAAAGTTTGCATCAAACCTAGATCAAACTTTATGGCTTAGTTGTAGTTGCTACATATCACATCAATCAAGGTTGACTGAAAATTGACTTTGATACTTTTTATCCTTTCTGTTACTTTTTAATTATCACATTTTGACTTTTTACATATATCACAAAAGCTAATGATTATTGTTACTTTTTAGACTATGATTTTTCTTTTATTTATAATATCTTTAATTTTTTATTATTTTAACTTACTTTTCTCTCTTTATAATAAATTATTAAAGATAATTTTGACAAAACTATTGTTAACACTATTTTGAAATTTGAAAGTAATAATTAAAAAGAAACATAAATTTTTTACAAAAGTAACAATTAAAAAGAAACGGCGGAAGTATTTTGAATGTTTTCTTCTTTGCAAAAGGTTGAGTTGATGATGGTGTTGACTCAGTTGTTGTTAGAGGAGTTGGAGTCTTGCATGACTCGGTTCTTCTGCCACATTATAACAGAAACTCCATGAAGAATTTGCTCGACAGCGTCATTACATGTAGGAACATGAATACCTCGAACTAATACAGAAAACTGATGAGGCTCCGGTTTGGAGGAATAGAAGCAAGCAACTCTTTTTGATGCAACATAATCATACTTCGCCATATGATATAAACACCAACCATGAAACTCAACCACTACCATACATGTTAACATAAACGAGAAAAATTGAAATCATGTATGAAAAAAACTTGAGCAATAACAACTTACATAATAAAGAAGAATGCAGATCACTTCATGATTATGTTTGGGATGTGAGCAATTTTAGACCAAAGCGTGCTTGTTTTTATCAGACATTCTTCGACTAAAAGTGGATATTTAATGATTTCTAATGATGGGAGATATCGGAAGCCTTGACAACGATCTAAAGATATTTCAATAATGTTTGTAAGTGATGAAAGCCATTTGGAAAAAATCATACCCTCGTGTTGTTGTATGCTCAATTTTCCAAATCTAGTTGGTTTCTTGTCTTTGAAGGTCCAATCATAAATCACAAGGTGTCTCAAATTTTTCAATTTCGAAACAACATTTGCAGAAAGTATAACTTTTTCATCCAATAACAATTTTAATGTTTGTAAACAAACAAGATTGTATATAGATTTTGGAAGACTTTCTAGTCCATAGCATGTCAACAAGTTAAGATGCCTTAAATGTCTCAATTTTTCAATTGAACCGGATAGTCTGCTCACAGAAGAATGCACCAACTTCAAGACTCGCATGTATTTGAATGTTGAAATAATTGTCAATTCCTCTTCATCCAATTTCTTCCGGTGATAGGAAGAAAACATGATTAAAGTTTATAGCCTACTTGCATCCAATGATTCCAACAACCAAAATGCACCAAGTTCCACCGATATATGGATTGGTCTTCCTATACACCTTTTTGCCTTACTGTCTAAGTAACAACAATTAACTCCTGCTACTTATGTTGCAAGATCGTGCATTTTTAAATAACTTGTATCATCATCTTGAATCATTTTTGCATCTAGAAAGAATGATTTCATGAGGAAAATATTTACGAATTGATTGCTAATATCTTCCATGCATTGATCTTCAATAGAACATTCAAGATAGCCTTGTGCCATCCACGTTTGAATCAATTCATCTTTCTCAATTATTTCATCAATCCTAATTGATTGATAACGGATTCTTAACACTCCCCCTCAAGCTGGATCGTAGATATTGTATAATCTGATATTGTTACAAATATAATTCATTCGAGAACCCTTGAGAGACTTGGTAAACATATCAGCCAATTGGTCTTTAGATTTGACAAATTTTGTGGTTATTTCTCCTAACAGTACATTGTCTCTTACATAGTGACAGTCTATTTCTATGTGTTTGGTCTGTTCATGGAAAACTGGATTGGACGTAATGTGGAGTGCCACTTGATTGTCGCATATGAGTTTTATGGTTTGAAGGACACCAAACTTAAGTTCTAAGAACAAATTCTTAAGCCATTCAAGTTCTTTTGAGGTTGCTGCCATAGCATGGTATTCAGCTTCAGCACTAGATAGTGCAACTGTGTTTTGTTTCTTTTGTTATAACAAAGTTTGATTCTAATCATATCTTAGAGTTTTGATGATAACAATGAAATAAATTTTGTATAATATATTTTATACTCTGATGTGCATGTTTTCTAATTCAGATGATGTTCTGACTCAAGCATTCTCAAAAGTGAAACATCATTCTACGCTGAGCAGAAAAAGGATAAAGAAGTTCCTAAAAAAATTTATGTAAACGTAAGTCTGAAGCAAACTCTGAAGGAAGCACTCTAAGGCAAACTCTTATAAAAAGTAATCTTAAGCAACCTCTGATAAAGCTAGTTGAAGCAAAGATTTGAAAGAATCACGTTGAAAGCAATATCTGATAATGCAAGCTGAAGCAAACTTTGATGAACATAAAATATAAAAAACTCTGACAGAAGGAGTGATATAGCAAACTCTGATAAAAGAAAAGTTAAAATAAACTCTGATGTTGCAATGCTGCAAGCAAACTCTTAAACTTCCAGAGACAAGCTCTGACAGTACCGTTGATCATTTAATGTTAAGACGGCTAACGCGCTCAAGTGGTACTATGCACGAGAGTATTGGAAACATAAAGGTCAAGCTAACACGCATCATTAATGCATACTCTCTCTTCAAGGCAGTAACGGTCAAAATTTGAAGCTATATATAGAAGACCATTTGTTTCAAAGCAATGTTACTGATCCACACAAAATATACTGAAGCTCACTATTTTCATTCTTGTATACTCTTTGTATATAATGGGTAATTCTTAAGTGTTGGGCTAAAATCTTAGTGATAAATCACAGTTTGTGATATAGCTTATTAGAAGCATTCTGATTCACTACTGTTAAAAGATAATCTTTGTAATTGTTCCTTGAGAGACCAGTTGGGTCAGATTTCTCAAGAGGGCTAGGACTAGTTGAGTCTTAGAGGTATTAGTCACTTGCAATTGGCTTGCGCATTATATTGTTAGTCACAACAGTTTGATTGTGCATTTGTAATCAGTTTTGATTATAGTAGATTAAGTCCTCGTTGAGAGAGGCGAAATCACCTTGGCGGGTGGACTTGAGTAGTTTGAGTTTCAAACGAACCAGGATAAAATTACCTGTGTCCATCCATTATTATTGCGCGAGAAAAAGGAAAAACTTATTCACCCCCCCCCCCTCCTTCTAAGTGTTTTCTCACCCTTCAATTGACATCAGAGCTCTAGTTCTGGGTGCAAACACCTCAGTGTCAGAAAAAGATCCAGAAGGAAAACACTATGACAATTGAACAAAACAACAACAACTTCACCAAACCTCCTGTGTTTGATGGAGAAGACTTTGAATACTGGAAGGATAGACTAGAAAGTTTCTTTCTCGATCATGATGCTGATTTATGGGATATGGTCCTAGATGGTTACACACATCCAGAAGACAAAGACGGAAACAAGATTGACAGAAAGAACATGGATAAACAACAGAAATTAGATTTCAAAAATCACCACAGAGCCAGAAATATCTATCTGAACGCTATCTCTAAAACGGAATATGAGAAAATCACCAACAGAGATACAACACGTGACATGTTTGAGTCTCTCAAAATGACTCATGAAGGCAATGCTCAAGTAAAAGATACAAAAGCTCTGGCTCTTATCCAGAAGTATGAAGCCTTCAAAATGGAAGAAAATGAGTCCATTGAAGTTATGTTCTCAAGATTCCAAACTCTGACCGCTGGCCTGAGAGTTCTGAACAAAGGATACACCAAGGCAGACTATGTTAAGAAAAGTATCAGAAGTTTACTCAGAAAATGAGCACCTGTGGTTACTGCATTCAAAGTGTCAAAATATTTAAATGATGCATCTCTTGAAGAACTTATCAGTGCATTAAGAAGTCACAAGATAGAACTTGATGAACATGAGCCTCAGAAGAAAGGTAAGTTTTTCGCCCTTAAATCTATTAAAAAATATGAAACTAACGCTTTTCAGGCAGAAGAAGGAAACTCTGAAGACTCTGCATCAGAAGAAGATGAGTTATCTCTGCTCTCCAGAAGGATTAACCAGATGTGGAAGCACAGACAAAAGAAGTTCAGAAACTACAAGAGGTCAGAAGATAAACCAGAATCTTCTGGACATAAGAAGTCAAGCAGAAGAGATATAGTCTGCTATGAGTGTAAAGAACCAGGACAGTACATAAGTGATTGCCCTAAGCTACAAAGAGAAAGACCAAAGAAAAGGTTTGGAAGAAAGAAAGGCATGATGGCCACCTGGGATGATTCAGAATCTTCTGAAGTTGAATCTGACTCAGAAGATGAGCACGCTAACCTAGCGTTTATGGCTACCACAGCAGATGACGATGACTCAGACTCTGATTCAGAACCGAAAGAGGTATTCTCTGAATTCTCTAGAGCCAAACTTGTAGAAAGCTTATCAGAACTTCTTGAAATCTACAGTCAACTCAAAATCAAATACAAGAAACTCAAAAAGAATCTTGCATCTGATTTTGAGAAACTTGGAATAGAAAACTCTGAACTTAAAGAAAACAATTTTAAACTCAAAGAGGATGTTCAAAAAGTTCAAAAGATTTCTATTTTAGATTTTTCTTCAAGTTCAAGAAATGTTCTTAAAGAATATGACTCTAGTTTTCAAACATTTCTTGCTAAAAGCATAGATAGAAGCAAAATGGCTTCAATGATCTATGGTGTTAGTGGAAATAACAGAAGAGGAATTGGATATGAAACTCCCAAAGGGAAAGAAACATATAAACCTAAACCTGTTGAGGAAATGGTTATCACATATAAACCACTGCACAAACAATTTATTTTTGGGCACACACATGATATCAAATACACATCTCACTCTGGAAATTTTTATGCTAAATCAAAGTTCAAACAAAATTTTAGAAACTCTAACCAAAAATGACCCAAAAGGATATGGGTACCTAAGGAGAAAATAATATATGTTGCAGATGTCCTTAACAGCACAGTTGAAACACCAGTCATGGTACCTGGACTCTGGATGCTCACGACATATAACGGGAAGAAAGTCTATGTTCCAAAGTCTGGAACTTAAATCTGGAGGAGATGTCAAATTTGGAGGAAATCAGAAAGGAAAGATTATTGGTTCTGGAACCATTGGAAATGGTAACCTTCCTTCTATAACTAATGTTCTGTTGGTAGAAGGATTAGCGCATAACTTGTTGTCCATAATTCAATTAAGTGACAACGGTTATGACATAATCTTTAATCAAAAATCCTGTAGAGATGTTAGTAAAAAAGATGGAACAATCCTTTTTACTGGAAAGAGAAAGAACAACATCTATAAAATTGATCTTTCTGACCTTATAACTCAGAATGTAAAATGCCTTATGTTTGTTAGTGATGAGCAATGGGTCTGGCACAGAAGATTGAGACATTTTAGCATGAGAAGAATATCTCAAATTAACAAACTCAATCTGGTCAGAGGACTTCCCAATACGAAGTTCAACTCAGAAGCTCTGTGTGAAGCATGTCAGAAAGGAAAATTTTCAAAATCTTCTTTTAAGTCAAAAAAATGTTATTTCTTCCTCTAGGCCGTTGGAACTTCTTCACATTGATATGTTTAGACCAGTTAAAACGGCATCCATCAGAGGCAAGAAGTATGGATTGGTCATTGTTGATGACTACAGCAGATGGACATGGGTAAAGTTTTCAAAACACAAGGATGAGTCACATTCTGTGTTCTTTGACTTCTGCAACCAAGTGCAAAATGAAAAAGAGTTTAGAATCATAAAAGTTAGAAGTGATCATGGAGGAGAATTTGAAAACCATTATTTTGAAAAGTTTTTTTTAAAGAAAATGGAATTTCTCATGATTTCTCTTGTCCTAGAACTCCCCAACAAAATGGAGTTGTAGAACGAAAGAATAGAACTTTACAAGAAATGGTCAAAACCATGATTAATAAAACCAATGTGGCTAAACACTTATGGGAAGAAGCAGTGAACACATCATGTTATATTCAAAATAAAGTCTCTATAAGACCTATTCTTGAAAAGACTCCTTATGAACTGTGGAAAAACAGAAAATCCAACATTTCATATTTTTCATCCTTTTGGATGTACTTGCTATATTCTGAATACTAAAGATAATCTGAACAAGTTTGATTCTAAGGCACAAAAGTGTTTTCTGCTTGGACATTCTGAACGCTCAAAAGGATATAGAGTATACAACACAGAAACTCTGATTGTTGAAGAATCAATCAAAGTCAGATTTGATGATAAGATTGGCCATCAAAAGCCAAAGCAGAATGAAAATCCTGCAGGTAC